AGGATGGGGCGGAGGCTGAGGATGGGGCTGAGGCTGAGCATGGGGCTGGGGCTGGGGCTGGGGCTGGGGCTGAGGATGGAGCTGGGGATGGAGCTGAGGATGGCGCTGGGCCCTGGCTGACATCAAGGGGCAAACACACTGAAGGCGAGGGGGTCCTGAGGGTTGGTGCTACAGGTGGGAGTCCCAGGCTGAGAGGGGGCTTCTGGGCTGCCCCATTCCTGGACAAGGCTCGGTGGCCACCGGTTGCCCCCAGCTCCCCTGAGCCAAGGGCCTGGGACCCCCTCCGGCCTCTAGTACTGCAACCCCCTTGTTTGTCTGTTGCATCAGGCCCTAAACTGAGGGAAGGGTGGTCGTCTCTGCAGTCATTAGTCCCGGGCTTGCCTGGGTCTGGGGACAAGAGTGAACGTCCCCACAGTGGCCCTTCCAGCGCCTGCCCCACAGACTCTGGGGTCTGGCTGAAGCTCGCGGTGAGTAGGACCTCCTTGGTGACCCAGGGCCAGTTCTCCTCTGGCGCTAGGACCCTCTGCACCCCCTTGGTCTCCTCAGACCTGATCCTGGAGACCTCCGCCGGTGGCCGAGTCTGCTCCACACGGATCCGGGGCAGCTGGGAGCCTGTGCAGAGGTGGTCCAGCGAGTCCAGGGCAGCCGAAGCCACCACCACAGCGTCCCATACACTCACCGCGGTGCCCAGACGGAGGGGGCGCGGCTTTGAGGGGCGGTAGGTTCTGACTCCATCCATCTGTAGCCGACAGCCAGCCGGGCCTCTCCCTGATGAGCCCAGGGGCCCCATAGCTGGGTGCCAGAGGCTGGTGTCCCGTTGCCTGGCACGGTCGCGGGCCTGATGAGCTGGCCCCTGGGCACCCACGCTGCCTTCCTGTACCTTCACGTCCATTGAGCTGCGGAGACTCCGAGGGGCGAAGTGGATCAGGAGGGGGGTGGCCACAGACCCCACCTTGCTTCTCCCAAAGAGGGCAGTGCTTGGCCTGGGAGGCCCGCTTCCGTGGCCTCGGGGGGCTCCTGGGGAGACTTTACCTTGCTGCTGTTCCACCTGACCCGGGGTCTCTAGGGAAGGCCTGGCTGTGGCCGCCAGCCCTCTGGGTGGCTCTGGGTTCCCGGCGGCAGCAGGAGCTCCCTGGCAGCGTCCTGGAGGGCCTGGCTCTCCCTGCCCCTGGCTCTGCTTCTCTCTGCCACCGCTGACCTGGGGCTTGGGGTGCTGGCCCAGCTCAGCCCCTCCTGCCTGATCAGGCTGGCTCCCCGGGGCTGTGGACACTGGTCTTGCCACTTCCTGGTCCTGCCCAAAGCCAAACCAGTGCAAAGCCAGTGCTGTGGCTGCCACCACAGCCACTGCCAGCAAGACCAGCACAGCACCATCCCAGTCATCGTCCCCATCCCCAGCCCAGCCCCAGCCCCAGAGGGGGCTGTCAGGCTCCATGCTGCCTGGAGAGAGGTGCTGGGTGCAGCCAGGGCAGTCAAGGCTGACCAGCTGCAGAGCCAGCACACAGACCTGGGCTACATGCCCCGCCCCAGGGCTGACCAGTTAAGGTGGACCTTGGCAAGTGTGGGATCTGTGCCTGCACCAGGCTCGGGTGTTGTCAGGAGGGCCTCTTTGGAGACAAAGCACCTGGGAGCAGGAGAAGAGCTCAGGCCTCTCCAGGGGCCCTGGTCAGAAGCTATGCCCACACCGCGGGGCCCGCCCACCTGCTTCTGCCTGACCAACCCTTACATCCCCAAACCAATCCCACACCTCCTCTGATCTGGGCCCAGCCTCCAGGGCTCTTGCAGGGAGGCCTACCCACGAGAGATGTTATCTCTTGCTTTAGCAATTGATGCAGCCCTGATGAAATTACCAGAAACCGGAGAGGCTGATTCCACTGCTCCCACTGCTGGCTGGTGTGGGAGGGGAGGGGACAGTACAGCAGGTGGGCCCCAACATAATGCTGCTCAGGGGTAAAGTGGGGGCTCCCGTCAGGCTCGGTGGGCCAAGGCTGAGGTTCCCACACCCCCTCCAGCAGCCTCTAGACTAAGCCCACCACAGATGGGAAAGGCTTTTCAGGTGAAGGGGGGAAAAAATGAATTTTAAAAAAATCCAGAAGTTATATTTTCCTCTTTGTGGCCAGGTTTGTTCCAACCCACCTAGACCTTCTAGGGTCTCTTGGTCCCTTTCACCTTCCGGCCTGTCTTGACTGCCCCAAAAGGTGCTCTGGCAGGGCCCCGTGGAACCTAGAGCCCAGCCTGCCCTACTGCAGTTGCCTGTCAACCAGCACTGTGACCCTCCAGAGTGCCAGCCTGCCCAGGCTGTCACAGCTGACCTCTGGGAATCCTCAGCTCAGTCCCCAGACTTCCCTAGAGACCACCCTCTACCCCCCATTCTTGGCCAGGCTCAGGCCTCATGGGATGCTTCTGTCCTTAGGTTGTCCCTTGTTTCTTAGGCTGGAGTCCTGTCTCTTCTGTGTGCTTCTCACCTAAGCCCATCTCAGGACTGAGCCTTGGGACAGGTGGCCGGCAGGGCCTGACATGATAACCCAGAGCCCGGCTCAAGACAAGGGCCAGGCCCTGAGATGATGTTTTCCCTCTGGGATGCAGCAGACCTGGGGACTACTCCCTGGCTTGGCAGCAAGGAGAGAGCCTAGCAGTGTCCCTGGCACCCAGCCTGGGCTCCACTGAGCCTCAAGTATCTCACCTGGTCTAGTTCCCTCAGCTCCCCCAGGACTATTAAATGACATGATGGAAAGGGGCGGAGGAGCCCCTGTGCCTTAAGGTGGACCTCAAGCTGAAGAGTTCTGTCTAGACTGCCCCATTCTCCATTCCACCCCAAGCTCTGACTCTTAGTTAAGTTTGGGGCCCAAAGACCTCCCTAGGGTGGAGGCAAAAGTTCCACCTGCACCACCAGTCCACTCCAGCCAGCTTCTGAAGACCCTGTCACCCTCAGCCTGAGCCCCAAGCTGCTATCAGAGGACAAGAGAAGTAGCCAAAAAGTGATGCCTACGGGGCCTCGACAGGGAGGACCGGCCCAGGAAATCATCCCACCCCACACTGCAAGACCACAGTGAGCACTGCAGAGCACGGGTGAGCAGGGACACGCGCGGTCCTCCTCCTGGAGAGGGGCACCTCCTATTGTCCAAACCCCAACATTCTGATGCTCAGGGGTAAAGTGGGGGCTCCCATCAGGCTCAGTGGGCCAAGGCTGAGGTTCCCACACCCCTCCAGCAGCCTCTAGACTAAGCCCACCACGGATGGGAAAGGCTTTTCAGGTGAAGGGGGGGAAATGTTGCCCTGTTTGGAGAGGTTGCCTATCAGCCAGGTGGCCAAAGACATGTGACTTCCCCAAAGTGTGTAGTTGTACCCTCTTAACTCCCCAGAGAGTTGCAATGTGGGACTGCTGGGAAGGTCAGAGCTCCAAACCTAGGAACAAATAGCTGCTCTGATCTTGGTGTTTTAGGAGTCTCCATACTGTTCTCCATGATGGTTGTACTAATTTACATTTGTACCAACAGCACAAGCGTGCCCTGTTCTTGAGGCCAGCAGGTGGTATGGTGGTTACGGCTCTGGACTCCCACATGGCCAACAGCAATTCAAGTGCCAGACCCGGTGGCTTGCATTCTCACTCCCCCAGCCCCCCTGACCAGTCTCTCTCTCTGGTGAGCACATGTGCCCTATAGCAAATTTAAAAATATAATAATAAATAAATAAAATAAAAAGATTTCTTAAGATAAAAAAAAGTGTCTTCATAAGAAGAAGTATTGTATAAATGGGAATGATGATGCAAAGCAAAGGTTACCATATTATTATCTTATTTATGTTTAAAAGTGTGTATTTGTATATGTATATATTTATTTATGTTTAAAAGTGTGTATTTTTATATGTATATATTTACATATTTTATAGATGCCTAAAATACATCTAGAATGATTTTAAGGCTTGGGAAATTTTTTTTTTTTTTTTTTTTTTTTGAGAGGTTTTTGCTATAGGGCACGTGTGCTCGCGAGACAGACAGAGACAGAGAGACAGAAAGCGAGAAATCACCCCCCAGGGGGGATGGCCATGCTGCAATCCCTTCTCCTCCATTCTCCTCTCGGGATCTTGGGCACGCACGCACGTGTGCCGGGCATGAGTTTTTAAGCCACTGGATCTGGGACACGAACTGCAGTTGACTACAGGGGAGTCCAGCGACAGAGCCATTATGCTAACTGCTGGTCCTGGGAAATATTTTTTTAAAGAATTATTTTATTTAACTTTATTTATCCATTTTTTAATTTCAGTTTGACCAGAGAGAAAGAGAGAGAGAGAGAAAGTAAGAAAGCAAGCTAACAGGTTGAGGACTCAAACTGTAGTCAGCCATGTGGGAAACCAGCATCTTTAAACGCCACACTATCTGCCAGCCCAAGGCTTGGGAAATATTAACCCAAGGGCTGGCCCCATGACCTCCCAGTTAAGAGAGCTGGATCCCCCGAAACCAGCAGATGGCATAATGGTTACATCACTGGACTCCCACATGGTTGACTGTGGTTTGAGTCCTGGACCCAGCAGCTTAAAACTCATGCTGGGCTTGTGCACATGCGTGCCCAGAATCCCAAGGGGAGAATGGAAGAGAAGGGATTGTGACATGGGCATCCCCCCAGGGGGTGATTTCTTGCTTTCTGTCTCTGTCTCTCTGTCTTCACAGCGAGTGCACGTGCCCTAAAGCAAAAATCTCACTATAAAAAAAAAAAAAGAGAGAGAGAGAATGAGAGAGCTGGATCCCTCATGGCTGACTGCATAGCGTGAATCCTGGACCAGTGGCTTGAGAAACACTCTAGGTGCACGTCCACATGTATGCTCCAAATCCCAACAGGATGGAGAAATGCAGGAGACATGGCCTTGCCCTGTGAAGATACTTTCTTCCTCTCTCTGGCAAGCACATATGCCTTCTGGGAAAGCAGAGCTAAAATATTCTTTCTTTTTTTTTTTTTGGAGAGGTTTTTGCTACAGGGTGCGTGCGCTCACCAGACAGAGAGAGACAGAGAGACAGAAAGCGAGAAAGAATCTGGTATGGGCACATACATGCCCCAAATCTCAACTGGAAGGAGGGCTGCCCTCAGAGCGCCTCTTGTCTGCAGGCAGGTGCAGACCTGGGTAAATAGCTTCGAAACTGCTGTGTGGTGGTGAACCTCGCAGGGCAAATGGGATAAGGCAGCCCACCTGGCTGGAAGCCTAATAGATCACCCTTATCTTTGAGCTGAGACCATAAAGGATGATGCCTTCAGGGTAAAAGTAATTAAAAAAAAATTTTTTTTTGAGAGGTTTTTCGCTATAGGGCGCGTGCGCTCGCCAGACAGACAGAGAGAGACAGAGAGATAGAAAACGAGAAATCACCCCCCAGAGGGGATGATCACACCACAATCCCTTCTCCTCCACTCCCCTCTCAGGATCTTGGCGAGCCACACCCACGCGCCCAGTGTGAGTTTAAGCCACCGGGTCCAGGACTCAAACCACAGTCAACTACATGGGAGTCCAGCGACATAGCCATTACGTCAACTGCTGGTCCCATAAGAGTAAATTTTTTTTTTGAGAGGTTTTTCGCTATAGGGCGCGTGCGCTCGCCAGACAGACAGAGAGAGACAGAGAGATAGAAAACGAGAAATCACCCCCCAGAGGGGATGATCACACCACAATCCCTTCTCCTCCATTCTCCTCAGGATCTTGGGCACGCACGCACACACGCCCGCTGTGAGTTTTAAGCCACCAGGTCCGGGACGCAAACTGCTGTCGACTACATGGGAGTCCAGTGACATAGCCATTACGCTAACTGCTGGTTCCCCTGTAAGAGTAAATTTTTAAAAATCATTCCCCACGGGGAACCAGCAGTTAGCGTAATGGCTATGTCACTGGACTCCCATGTAGTCGACAGCAGTTTGCGTCCCGGACCTGGTGGCTTAAAACTCACAGCGGGCGTGTGTGCGTGCGTGCCCAAGATCCTGAGGAGAATGGAGGAGAAGGGATTGCGGCGTGACCATCCCCCCTGGGGGGTGATTTCTCGCTTTCTGTCTCTATGTCTCTCTCTGTCTGGCGAGCGCACGTGCCCTATGGCAAAAATCTCTCTCTCTAAAAAAAAAAAAAAAAATCATTCCCCACATGGATTTGAGACCTGGAATCATGTTAGTTGATTTAGGAAACTTCTGTCCTTGAACTTAAATTAAAAAGTCCAAAGTAGTCCTGACACCTAATTAAAATTATCTCATGGGCCAACCCCATAGCTTAGTAATTGGGGGAGCTGGATCCCACACGGCCATCTGTGGTTCAAACCAGCCCCGGAGACTTGAGAAAGAATGTGGTATGGGCGCATACATGCCCCAAATCTCGACAGGATGGAGAAATGGAGAAGAGATTGCAGCATGACAATGCCCCATTAAAGGGTGCTTTCTCCTCTCACTCTTTGTCCCTGTTTCGTGAGCACACATGTCCTCTGGCAAT